TTTCATCAAAAAACTAAAATGTTCCATCTTTGTTGCTTACAGATATCTAGTGTTTGAAACGGGTAATATATGAACTTCTTGTCAATCTGTATCTTTACTTGAAAATGTATTTGACAAATAATTTGTTTGAAATACTTCAAGCAGGGTTTTTGATATTCTTTTCCAAATAATTTATTGTTCAAGTAAAGTTATTAAGAATTAATTCAGTTTATATCAGCAATATTCTCAAATTTAGTACATGTATATAGTATACGTAATACATGTTTATGATAAGGTTAGCTTTTAATTGATTTTCAAAAAAACTCAATGAAATTGTATTGCATTATCAGAATGTTCGTATCAAAATTTTCGTTTACAGTACAAATAATTTCTATTCTCAACACTCTGACTGATTTTAAAAATACAAATGGAACATAAGTTATGTTTGTATAACTTGGTTTGGTGTAGGGACACCCACCTTCTCTCATCTGTATCCATGCGATCCTCTCATTGTCAGTCCTCAAGATTCATTGAAAATTTTAAAATTACTAAATATACCCTTAACTTCAAACAGTAATTCGATTTTTAGACATGTAAACAAACTTCATGGCTGCTTGGTCTCGGTTTAAGTTATTATATAGCCTACCTCCCCTCGCCTCCCATCACTCCCGTCACTACGGTTGCATTATTGAGTGGGAAATTGAACTAATAAAAAGCGACGAAATTTTACACCCATATTTATTTAATGATTTAAATATTAAATTATCAGGAATGACTCTAACTATTTGCAAAAATATTCGAGAATAACATTTTGGGGGTCAATATTTAATTACCCTATCTTATAATTTACATTAAGTGGTAAACTATATGTAACCATGACTTACCTTGCTAATTGCTGTTTTTCTTAATTCAGAGATTAAAGAATGTGTGAGCAATCCTTGTATACACGGAAAATGTGAAGATTACATTAATGGATTCACGTGCCGATGTGATGTTCTTTATACAGGATTGGTTTGTCAAGAAGGTTACAATCTATTACTTTTCACATAACCTATTGATAATTGCAATTTCATTACCAGTAACTTATTGATAATTGCGGTTTAAAGAATAATGTTTTTTCATATTTAGTCAAGACAATAGTGGTTTTTGGTGCCCTACTCCTAGTTATTGGAATTATCTCGACGTCGGGAATCTTTGTTTATGTTAGATTCTTCCGAAACAGGTTTGTTCAAGTTAACTGCATAATATAATACGCTTATAATGTTTTGACTTCCTGTTAATAAACCAAAAAGTATGAAAATCAAAATATTTCTTAATTGCCATGAAATGAATAACAATGGAAATATACATGTATATTGAATATAACTTCAACCTTTCTAACCTATGACTTAGTACACTGTATTGTATTTTTGCAGCAAAACAATTGATGATGACAATGATTTTCTTTCATTCGCGGACGTTCCTTTGGGCCAGGCAAAGAGAATATACATACCTAAAGGAAAAATCCAAATCTTGGAAGAAGTTTTAAAAAATAAACATTATATACATGTAGTACATTTGCAAAATAAATTTGAAAAAAGGTACATGGTTTATGTTGTTTTAAGGAACAGATGAACGGAATATACTACCGTATATACTCGCCTATAAGTCGGTTGTATTTCTTGTCTTTATTTTGGTGGGATTTGCTATTGACCCGCTTATAAGTCGGTACAATTATTTGCCAATATCTGGTGATAATTTCAAGTAAATCCATTGGTTTTAACCTGGTTTAAATTAATGTTTTTCCAAATGACCCTGATAATTAATCTTAAATCATTTTTCAAAAAGACAATGCTCACTTTAAATATAAATTAATTTATTGAAATATGTAAATATTTGTATTTTATATATATAATCTAAGAATACATAAATTATCTTATATATCCAGACATTTTTTTTGATAATTGTCGGACATGCAAATAAGATACTACCTTTTAACCTCCAGAAAAATACCAATCTCTTTATGACTCGCCTATAAGTCGGACATAGAGTTTTAGACCAATATTTAACTCCAAAAATACCGACTTATAGGTGAGTATATACGGTAACAATATCTCAATTTATTTCTCACCTGAGCCGAAGGCTGGCTTTTTTGTTCCCCGCTTTCATTCATATTACACATGTATATTACCTGTAACAAAGCTTTCTCCGGATACATTACTTAATATATTTCACCCCATGACGTATCTTAAAGAAAAAATAGTCATTGCTTTGATATGGCTATAACTTTTGAATGAGAAGAGATTATGCTTTCATATTAGAAATTTGTATATTCTGTGACAAGGCCCTCTTTAATTCTCTGACCTTGACCTTAAATTTTGACCTACTTTTCAAAACCTTTAACCTTCGTCATAACTTTTGAATGAGAGGAAATAGAACTTCCATATCACACATGTATATTACTTCTGAGAAGATCTTTCTAAATATTATGATTTTTGACGCCGCAACCTTGCCCTTCAAGTTTGACCTACTTTTAAAAAATTAAACCTTACTTTGAATTGGACATAAGGTTTGTACGAGAAGAGAGAGACTTTCATGTTAAAATGTGTAATAGCTGTGACAAGACCTTCCTAAAATACTATGAGTTTAAAGTTCGTGACCTTGGACTTTAAAGTTTGACATACTTTTTAAAAAACTTTAACATTGTTCATGAAGTTTGAATGAGAAGAGATAGGACTTTTATATTTTAAAAATCTGTGTATTGGCTGTGACAAGACTTTTCTAAGTACACTATGAGTTTTGATCTTGTGACGACCTACTTTTCAAAATTGTTAATTTTTCCTTATACCCTTTGATTGAGAAGTCACATGATTTTTTTATATTTGACATGTGCATTACATGTACCTGTGACAAGATTATAGTTTCTTGATGTCATATGATAGGGGGTCCTTATTTGACACAATTTGTCATAAATAATGACATTTCACCCACAAAGACACCCAAAACGGAGGAGCAAATTTCCTTGAATGTGCTTGTTATATTTTCTTTCTTTCCACCTGAACACAGTAATACATAATAGTTGAGCGGCTTTAAGATGTCACTGCAGTTTATAGAGATTGTGAGAACAAGAAATTTTTAAACAATGATTTTGGGAAACATTGGTAGCTTTAGAGTATGCCAGGATGGTTTATCTACTCTTGACATTCTTATACAGGCTAGGTGGCATTTTGAATATGAAAAGAGAGAATAATTTAGTTGCTCTGCACTGTTAATTAACAGAGTTAATGTCCTGTAGGTAAGTTTTAAAATTTTATTTGTTCAGGTTTTATTTAAGGTACATCGATACTCTTATCAGAGGGATAACTCTTCATGAAATCTATGTCTAATATTCCTTTATAAATTTGTTATGTTGAAATGTCTTTTTCCCAATTTTGTCCTACAAGTCATTCTATAATTATCTGTATTTTACTATAAGCATATAAACATTTTCCTTTAGAAAATCATAAGGGTTAAGAAAAACATTTTATACGAGTGAGCAGAGAATTTATGATCCTTAAACATTTCAACATTCCATTTTTTAACGAGTTATCTATAATGAGTATGATAACTCATGGATCAATTTACTTTTTGAATTGTTTGCATTCAGCTCGACTTCAAGCGTAGCTTGACAAATTGATATTTCTTATCAACAGAGTTTTCCTCATTTTAATCCAAAAGAGTTTTTTTTAGACATGAAATAAATTTGATTGGACAAATCGTGAACTAGGCTACGTTAACACTGACCATCAAAAAAACCTTACGCATATGAACTATGTCGTTTGACTTAGGGCTGAAGTTTTCATACTCATAATACTGATGTTTATTTGTACAGAAAACACCTCCTTTTATTTTTTGTTGTTTAATTTATCATTTGTATTATCTCAAAAGCGATTAAGAGTTGGTACTATATTTTTACACGCAACTTTAATTTGGCGACTATGTGGTGGACTTCCTGTCTTGAACAGGCTGACATAAAACGGCAATTGCCCTTTTAGCGTACATCGCTGACTTTTACAGTCTACCGCTAAACGCCATACATATTTGACCACTAGAAAGGTTTTCTTTTCCATTATCAATTATGTACCTCCGTTCATGACAAAGGTTTTAATATCAAAGTAAACCTCCAACTGTAGCAGTCAGTGTTCTCGCAGAAGTCCAATATACACTATAAAAAAAGTTTTACTTAGTAATTTATATTTACTTAAATTTGTGTATGTAAGTAATAACATATTACTTTGTTTTTACTTACAGTTTACCACTAATTACTAGCTATTACTGAAATATTTTTAAATTGCTATATTTAATTGTTTTACTTAAAACAATAAATTATTTACTACATCAAGGAGGATTCAGAGCAGCTGCAGAACAAATTACTTAAATCTGGTAGTCTTATTACTATATATATATACTATAATGAAAAAAAAAATAAAGATATCAGAATTTTACTTTAATTTCTATATATAACTAATATTTTTTTGCCCCCGTAAACGAAGTTTCAGGGGTATATAGTTTTTGTCGTGTCCATCTGTCTGTCTCTCTGTCTGTCTGTTTCTCTGTTTGTCTGTTTCTCCGCAAAAACTTTAACCTTGCCCATAACTTTTGATTTAGCGGAGCTATGACTTGCATATTTCACATGGCCATTCTATATTACAGTGTTAGCCGCGATCATTGACAAAGACACCTGTCTTATAGTATACCTTGGGTAACTATCTTTGAGTATCGCTAAATTTGACCTTGACCTTGGAGTTTGACCCACTTTTACAAATTCCAAACTTTTTCTGTTTGTGCCATATCTTTTTAACAGTAAATACCAGGACATTAATACTTCACATATATACTCTTTGTTGAAAGACCTTTCATTGGATGCCAACAACCATGACCATTTGATCTTGACCTTGGAGATTTCAATCCTTGTGAAAAAAAAACTTTAACCTTAATAGATAGTTTTCGATAGGCCAGATTTTAGCAAGAGTTATTCCCCGTTGGTCGCTATATTGTTTATAGATCCTGATAAGCAGGTCGGGTCACAGTAAAGCTACATGTATTATCAATTAAAAAGGGAATGTTGACCTTTGTAATTGTAGAAGAAATAAAACATATTTTTATTATGATGGTAACATGGCAAGACGCATGTATTTGCACCAAAGATAGCATATCGTACTCTCTGTCTCTCTCTCTTTTGCTCTCTCGCTCGCTCCTAACATGCCTAAGAAAGATAATATCATACACATATAATATCAGTCAAAAGTAAAGAAATATAATTGTACTGATCACAAGGTTATCACTAAATCTTGGTATTTTCCCCATTTGTGACAGATCTGGTTACAAGTGAATTATCGTATGGTGTTTCTTCCTCAAACACTTCCGGTGTAGTCTCGTTTTCATCCGAATTTTCACTCGGAAAGATTGTAATGTAATTCGAAGTTTCGGGTTCGTCAGACAGACTGACAGCGTTGCCATTTTTGTTCATACTACCAGTTCCAGAATGAAAGTTGATTGGTTCACGCTGTGAGGATAACGTGTCACTATTATGCAAATTATTGTTCACATTCCCCATTTTGTGTGATCCGCCAATGGTGTCTCCAGCAGAGTCTCGATGTGGTAAGGACGGTGGCTTTACGGTAACCGAGTCACTATTATACGTTGGATGATTCTGAAGACAGAAAGCCAGTTTAAAATTAAACATGACATAAACAAGAGGCCCATGGGCCACAATAATCAGCTTAGTACCGTGGCAAGAAAAAAAAGAAGTTTAGTATTAAAAAGCTTAAATGCATGAGTGACCCCGACCTACTCCTTAAAGACAGAAGGGGTAAGGGGGGGGGGGGTACAATTTGAACAATTTAAATCTAAAATATCTGGGGATGCTGCCAAATAAAATGACCATCATGGCTTTCTTGTTCAAGATTTTTCCTATATATTCCTATGTTAAAATTTGATTGTCTATTGTTGCCCCACCGCTCCCCCAGCGGTCATATTTTGAACAAATCTGAATCTGCACAACCTGAGGATGCTTCCATATCAATATGACCACCCATGGCTTTGATCTTCTTGAGAATAAGATTTTCAAAGTAGTTTTCCCATATATTTAATATATACCGGTATACCCTTGATTGTCCATTGTAGACCGACCCTATCCCAATTGGTCACGATTTGTACAAACTTGAATCTACATCACCTGCAGATTCATACATATAAATGACCAATAATGACTTCAAAGAAGATTTTTTCCTATATATTACTAAGTAAAACTTTGATCATCTATTGTGGCCCCACCCTAACCCATTGGGTCATGTTTTTGATTTTAAACTACCTGAGGATGCTACCATATAAATACATGTATCACCAATCATGGCTTTACTGTTCATTAGAAGAAGATTTTTAAAGATAGGAGTAAATCCTTACTTCGCGGGTTCTTATATAACTGTGGGACGTGGGGACCGGTTCTTCGGATTTGGCCGTATAAACCGAAGTCACGTGTCGCAGTAGGTGCTGCCACGAAAAAGATCCCTCTGCTCAACGGCCGTCAGTGCAGAGCATAGATCAACATTTGCAAACGATATTCAATCGATCAGTCAATCAATCAATCAACATCAAATACATCACATACCATATTATCATCAATCACGTGATATGTTTCTTCATCCTCCGGGGTTGATTCAAAAGATGGCTCAGGCTGAAAATTATATTCCGGATTCTGAACGGATCGCTTCTTTGTCAGTTTTGATCTGTAAGTACAAAGTATTTACCCAATGTGCCAATTTTGTCAGACTTCAAGCGACATTTACCTGAAATATTCTATAATCACAAAAAATGGCACAGCATCGTCTTCATGCAATAAAAGAAAATGTTAAATCTTACTTCGTTTTTGCTCGATGGCGATGAAACAATACGGCAATTAAGATGGCGACAACAACAACGAACAATCCGCCGAATAGTCCGCCCAAAATGATCCCGACCTCGTTTCCGTCCGGCCCAGCTGTCCCCGGCTTCGTCACGGGATTTGATGTCGTTGTGGTTATGATGCTTAATGTGTAATTTGAACATCTTTGAGCAAGAATATCTTTCTGAGTACCTAATGGTTTACAAAAATTGTCCATAAGAAAAATCGCACAATAATTTTATGCTGACTGTATTTTTCCCTTATTGCATACATTGCCCAATATTGATTTCTAAATCAAAATAAAATTTACATGTGATGTATGCTATTTTTTTTGATGTCATAAACTATACAAATAGAACCACTTCCAGGTAAGCTTGGACTTTCAGTTAGGCGTGGCATTCTCAGCGCTACGTAATAAGCGTCTGTCAGATGGCGAATAGATTCACATTCGTTAAGAAATTAATAACATCAGAAATTTTAAATTGTTGTTGACAACGATGAGACGACTTTAGGTCCATCTCTTTGCCGGTCGAGACAATGTTATTGATTATTCGATAAACTATAGTTGGCATTTCTATCCCATGCATATTTCAACAGTGAAGGAAAGCTAATTTTGTAACGTCGAGATTGCCACGCCTTACTGAAAGTCCAAGCTAAACTGGGAATTGTCCTATATGAAATAAATACTGGTATACAGTAGAAATTGAAGCAAGTTAAAAAAAAAACGAATACAAACTATTTACATAGATCACACGTTTTTAAATTTTGAACGTTTAATTTTTAGTTAATTAAAGATGTAGGTACAAATTCGATCAAATACCGTTCAGTCCACATCTGTCCCAGGGTTCATTTCGCGGACACTGCGTTCTCAACACATCCAGTTCTTTCATACAGTTCTTGCTCTCGTGGTTGTACGCAGTACCGGGCGCGCACTTCCGCTCTACGACGCCATTTCCATGACCTCTGCACTCATAATACTGGAAACAGGAGCAGGGATCAATGAGTTGTGTCCCCGCAGAGCAGTTCCAAAAGACCGGAACACACGATTCTGTCATAATAATTGAACATATTTTTTAAAAATAATTTGTAGAACAAGTATATTAATTCACCGTTTCGGAATATCAACATATTCCCCCCTTCTTTAAATTACATAAATTAATATTATATATATATATATATATATATATATATATATATATATATATATATATATATATATATATATATATATATATATATATATATATATATATATATATATATTAATTATATGTGTAAAGACTTTTTTCTATTAAAATTTTATATTAATATCATATCCAAACAAACATTTAAAAAACTTAGTAAAATGTTTAACATGGAACATGGGATATATTTTTTAATCTATTGTTATCGCATTTCCTTTTACTTTCTCATAAATATTAATATTAATTAAAAAAATGAATAATCATTAGTTAATTAAAAAAATGTATATATACATACCTGTAATGTACAAGTCCGGGTTGGACATCTCTTTTTCTACTGTTTTTCGGACCCTCCTGTGATAAAAAAAGAAATTCCGTTAGTGAGACCTCAAATAAGGGCGTGTTCACCCAAAAAAACATTTCGCCTACCCTTATCTGTTTACATTTCAAATTATTAATATTATCAGTAAGCCGGGCAGATCAGGCGACGAAGAAAACTTTTGACGTTGCATTCTTCGCCTCGATCGCGACTGACCAGCGACAAAGATATGCACAATTATCCCTGTACACATCGTAACTGTGTTCCCGTGTTAAGACGGGGAGATAGAAAACAAATGTTTTAATGATGTGCAATATTTTCACAGTTGCACTTGTTTACGAAGAAATGCATCTGCCAAAGAGACTGTAGTATACGTGTAGAAATCAAAAGTGAGAAATGCTTCATAGTTTCAAGTACCGTCAGTTGGGTTTGATTGACGTGTCTATGGAATCGGACGTAAAATAATATATAATTAATCATTTTTCATAGAAATGAAACCCAATTGAGGATACTTGAAAAGTTATGAAAATATATATCTCATCTTTGAAATTCAATAGACAACAATATTATTCTTAAATATTATACATATTCAAAAAAAAAAGTGCAATTATAGTTGATGAATAAATAAAGATAAATTATTTTTTTCACAGAGAGAACATGATACAGTCTGTTAATAAAAACGGTACTGACAAGTCCGAGTCCAAACCTATCCCTAAAAAACTTGACCTTTAATAGGCTTTATTGTGACCTTGGAGATTAAAATAAATGGATAATAAATGACCCCTATCCTCAGGCCATTAAACCGTCTTTCGTCAACAATGCTCTCTCTGCGTGCTTTCCCTGTCAAATTCTCCATATCAAAATGATAAAAAGCACCTCTTTTATTTGTTCATAATCCACCGAATATTACAATGTCTAGTAGAGAGAAGAATGTACCCACTTAGCAATGAATTTATCTGTTTATTCTACGACGTTCCCCATTACGATTCAAGTGTTGTCGTGTAATTGTCAACTCAATAATTTAAATACATTCTAAAGCTTTGAAATCATTTTTAGCCGTAAACTTAATCACCTAGGATACGGGACACTGTCTTTTCACCTTATTCACACACATGTACATACTTATTTACCGAAAAATTCAAAGGCGGATATATATCCGTTAAAAACGTTATTCTTCATAGATCTATTTTACTTGACGCGACACAATAGTGCCCTCTGCCGGAAATGACGTCATAGCGTAGGCAAAACATTGCTGATGGGTTTTTCATCTCTATCGAAAGTTTTTCAACAAGTTGTAAAATTTTGCGCAAACTTTCAACCTTCATTCAGCCTGCTTTTTATAACGCAGATTTGATTGGGTGAAGGGTTCCTGTTTGTCCGTTTGATATTTGTCTTCAAATAACATACGGCTTTTTACTTTGGAATTTAAATTGCATGATGTGATGTCGAGCAAAAACAAAACTTGGGAGCGAGAGTACTTTTTTCTGTTTAAAAATTGCATAAAAGACAAAACATCTTGCAAACCTATTGATCTTTGAAAAAGGAATGCATATACCAAAAAAAATAAAACTATGAACTTGCATGGTGTGCATGGAATGACTCATGCAGTTCTTTATTTTGATATACTTAAGGTAGGATTCTTCTCTGGTTTCTGACTAGATGAAACATTCAAATTATATTTGCTTATATGTCTTATATATTGAGGTGTAAGGAATTTAAAAGACCATATTTTTCTTTCCTCATCACAATTGTACAACTTTGAATAGAAATGATAAACTGCGTTTGAAAACTAACAGGGAGGAATGCATATATTTTTGGCGGAATGGTGGCGTATGAAAATATCTTCTTTTCTGCCTCTCAAAATTATAATAGAACAATGAATTTAGTTATAATTTTTACACAATCGAAGACTTGGGGAAAATTTTCAAATGTAAGTTAAATTAATTATGAGGGACTAAACTTTCAAAATATATTAAATAAATATGATTTTTCAAACAAATTAGAGCTTTGTTACATGCAGCTTTTAAACGCTTCCTTTCAAAGTGCAGATTTAAGCCAAAAATCCATAAAAAGTATTTTTTCTCTCTTAGTAAACGATCAAAACTTTTTGTTTTTGTATCATTTTGTACATTTATAAGGCCACTTTATTATATGTGAAAATAAGAAAAAGTTAAATATAGGAAGCATATGAAAATAACTAATATATCCTAAAAAATAAGAAAAACAGAGAAAATTCGGATTAGCCAATATCCAGTTAAGTTAAATTATTTATGTAAATTTGGTAATATCATGCCATAGACCTGCTATAGTAATATGTTGTTATGCAAAAAGAACAATCTTTAAATTTTTGAAATAGAAGTAGGTATCACATGATTGGCAACAGTATTTTTTTATTCTGAATGTCAAAGAAAAACATAATGACCTTGACCTGACCTTGCCTCTAATACAAAACGGTCAAATTTAATTTAACTGATACTATCACTTACTGATATTGTCTTCTTGATTCTGTGAAAATTTCATTAATTTTTAAATATTAGAAATATGAGAAGAATCCTACCTTAAGCTCAAACCAAACTGGCTCAGTTCTTAAGGTCAAGATCTAGTAAATGAAAGATGCTTATAAATATGTCAAACTTAAGGCATTTTAAGTTCCTTTAATTGATGATATTTTATAACTTAAGCATGGCCAAAAAGATGTTCGGGGCATAATTTGTAGGTAAACAAGATGACAATTCATATCTTAAACTGAAATTTCTGATGAAAATTTAAGAAAACCAGTCATGAATATGACAGTTTTTTTTTCCATATCGGACCAAGAAAATGCATCTAGATTGCATACAATCAGAAAACGGTAATACCTGGCTGTATGTTCTTTGATATAATGTCTTATTATATGATTGAACGATTTCCATCTCTCTGATTGGCTGAGATCCAACTATGTTAGAAAAATACTACGTTGTATTGACCTGCACGTGACGTTCCAGGTCAATACAAGGATTTATTTCCTCTACATTGATCTAAAAATAGATTGGGAAATTCCAAATTGATACAATTGTTTTGGAAAGCAATTTAAACGACAATGATTTTTTTATGTGAACAAATCATAAGCGAATATATATTTTAGGGTTAGGGTGATAAAAGGACCCCCCTCCAACACTTTTACTGGACAATCTTTTTTTTACTTTTTGGCAATCAGTTTGCCCTGATAATACTCCTTCCTTTCAAAATCTATCCTATAAAAAAAAGACTGACATTATATATTTCTTTCATGGCAACTAGAATTGATTTGAAAAAAGCATTTCAAATTGATACGACTGGTAAGGTTTATTCACATTTTAATTCTGCTTCTCTCTTGTATTTGGCTAGGACTTAATAAAATGCAAACAAGTAATGAGCTGTATCATTTTATCAGTGAATCATATAATAAAATAGTTATTGCTGTATTTTTCGGTCAATACAATGATTTAGCCATCTTCGAAGTACAATATTCACCCCGCCCTTCGGGCTCGTTGAATATTGTACTCCTCAGATGGCTAAATCATTGTATTGACCTCAAAAAACAGAAATAATTCTATAAAATTTAACAAAGGTATCGGGACTACTTTCCATGTGTTTTCAAATTGAATACCATGAAAATACCTATTTTCAACATACAATGTAATTCTAGTGCAGCCGTAACTTTTAAAGTAGGGGGAAAAGAAAGTTGAAAGTTTAAGGCATACACTAGATGCTGAACTTTAAAGCAGAAATTTAAAGGAAGGATTACATTAACAAAAGTTGATATACGAGTATGTATGATTATTTTGTAACAGTGGAGACTATAGTTTATAAGGGGTACATGTAGACCTTCCCTCTTTTTCTAACTCTTTCTCCCTTTAAATCAAATCAAAATCAAATGAATAGTATTTTGAGAGTAGATTATATTTAAATTTTCAACATTTATCATACATTTGTATGATAGTACATTTCGAACAATATTGGAATACATGTATAACAGTTACTGTAAAGAGGGAACATATGGCTTTTCCTTACTAAGTCTTGTGCTGTTAACTTCCTATTTCAATTTCATCAATTTTCAGACATGAACTTCACATAGGATGACTCGTATAAATTCTATTTCTGAACATCATTTAATCCGAATAAAGGAATATTTTTATTATTAAGACCATTTATATTTTATTAGCATGTTATCAATTTTTCAATGCAACAGTTACAATGTAGTTACATAAAAGACAAATATTTCCCTTTCTAATTTTCTCAATGTGACAACTCTTTGAAAGTTAGCAGAGTTTATTTCTTGATAATTCTACCGGAATGTAAATTAGGCAGGTCAATAGGTCAGGAGCTAAAGAGTCCTTATATGCATGCAAATCTCGTGCGCATCTGTCTCTGAGTCTGACGCTAAGGAGGCCAAATATGCATGAAAATCTCGTGCGGCTGCTGTTGTGTTTGACATCAGTGGGCGAGGACTATTTGAAATTGGGATAGGAATCCTCGTGTAATTTAAATCTATGCCTGCATTTTTTCTAAATCTACAATTTTATTTCATAATGAAATGGAAATATAGGGAATCACTATCTAGATAGTATAGTATGCCAGGGCATCAACAATAGTGGGAAACATGGAATAATTTGCATAACGGGTGAAGCATAACGGCATAAGTTCTGTAAATTTAATAATATTCGTTATGCAAAATAATAATTACCTACCTATAGGTATTTTTTCCCACTTTGCATTGTTAATGAAATTCATCAGCTCTTTGCTACAAAGTGTACATCTTTCAGAAAGTGGTATACTATTTCTACTAACTAGACAGTGATTCCTTAAACATATGAAATAATTGAAAATTAATTGAAGCTTCACGTTGACTAGACGTAATTTTGTATGTTAAAATTTAGTTGTTAAACTGTACATGTAACTGGCACTCACTCATAAATGCATATACATAAAATCTATAATTTCACAAAATTTAAAATTTCAGCAGTACTTGATGAAAATTGCATTTTATTCTAAATTTTAAGAAAAATCCTGTGAT